CAGTGCGTCCAAGTTACGTAACTAAGTAGTGTCTGCCATCCTACGTCTGAAATTTTTATTCTGACTTTCAGAAGAAGCATGCATGGTCCAATCTGGCATTTTAATAGATTTAAGCAGAATTGACTGGCTTTGTTCCGAAAGAGTCGTGTCTAATGCCTCGAGTCTTGAAAATATCTCATCGGCTGCCCCAGTCACAACATCAGAATATTATATACCCGGCGACCGCCTTCTGATGCCGATAATTTCGTTGATGTTCTCCTCGGGGTTCTCCTGATAGGCACACGCAACAACATTCAGGAATTTCCGATGAATTGCTCGCCATTCGTTTTAATGCGACGCGTCTTTTGTTGTGGTGATATTTCCTTCGATTTAATGAGAGCGCTAGTTGACGCGCGCGGCGATGTAATTTTGGCGCGCACGGAGAGAATAACAATCTGCTGTTCTTGTCTTTCCATTCGAACACGCTTTGGACTTGGTTAGAATCTAGGTCGTTTCCTGCATGCATGGTCTGAGCCGTCTCCATCCATATTATGGCTGTTTGCTGTCGTGGTCTTTAAGATCAGCGATATTTAATACCTTTTCTACTTCGCTGGAGAACAATCGGAAGGTTGCGCTTCCTTCGTGCTTTCTACCAGATTTCGGATGGCCAAAGAGCAAGTCATTGTACGCGTTAATTCTTGCTATAGTCGAACCAATGCGAATATACTCGAAAGTACATTTCGCACATTGATTTGAGCACATAGCGGTTTTTGTTCGAAATTGGCGCGTGTTTGCATTTATGACTCCCAACTACGGCGTTGACAAATGTGATAAGCCATTACGAATTATTAAATTATTACTAAATCGGATGTAGCTTATCAATATTTAAACCAAGAATAAAACGGACTATTAAATTACACTAGTATGACATAATTGGGTGAGTTAATTTAATTTGTATATGTCAACCCTCAAACGCCTGCCTTACAAATGCCATGGGAACGAACACATTTTGCCTTAATTTTTTCACACATCGTGCGGGTCCTCATGTAAGCATCCACGGCTTCTGTGGTCTCCGGCATCTGTGAGATATTGCATTCCAGATCCGACATATTTTGCGAAAAGCTTTGCATCCAGTTAGGGGTTCTTACAGTTTTGCGGGAAGACCTTAAGTTAATGGGATTGGCTGCGTTGGAAAATTCCAAATGGTCCAATCCAAAATTTCAATCTAAAATACGAAAAAGCTAATAAACAGGTTCTTTCCAGCTGTTTTTTTTCTTAATTTAAAGCAAGCGCACTAATAAATAACTTTGGTACACGTTAGTTACCTTTCTTCCTGGCATTGCTCTTCATGTAGATCTTCCTCAGTTGTATCTGATTGAGCAGCCTCTGCACATCCATCAAATTTGACCCACTTGGCAGGTCCGATCATTTTTTTAATGTGTTTTTTTAGACATTGCGTACAAATAGCTAAAAGGTTATAGGATAAGCATGATTTTTCTGTATTGGTATAATGTACTCAGGTGAATATGACGCTTGTGATGTTACTCCGAGTGTATATCCACACCGGGCAAGCTTGAAAAATATGCCTGACCACGGTGAGAATCGAACCTACGACCTTTGGAATACTAGCCCAATGCTCTGCCAACTGAGCTACGCGGTCTGGTTGGTTCGAGTATGTGATATTTCGGTACAGAATCTAGTTCCTTCGATATCAATGTTATCTAATAATAATCATGATCATCAGGCATATTTTTCAAGCTTGCCCGGTGTGGATATACACTCAGAGTAACATCACAAGGTTACAGGATAATAAACCATTTGTTTTCGTTTATAATGCGCATAGTGGAGACGGGTATTGGGAGGGAGGAACATGGATTATTTAGTTACTAATACTTGGTCTTTCCACTAGTCATATATTTTCATCACATAAATTATAATTGTATATTGATAATTAAGAAGTATATGACAGCATGGACTAGCAAGTAATGGATTAACAAAAGCATAGAAATTAGAAACAAAACCAATATAGAAATGAAATTATATACATTATTCATTACAGGAGCGGATCGGAGACGATTAAATTTTTCTCTCGCTTCGTTTGCTGTGCACGATGTTGGTTTTCTATCGTTTTGTGTGCACAACCTTTTTCTACAACTCGTGCACAAAAAAATAAAACGTTGCACCCTTTAAAAAAAAGTTTTATCGCACCACAGTTAATAGAATTAGGCTATTTCTATTAACTGTGATCGCACGCATCATGGCCAGAAATGAAGGACAACATGACCGACAAGCATGCGCGTTAAGCTTACACCAAATAAATTCAAAATGGCGGCGTTATATAAATTTGATAAGAGAAAATTCAATATACGCATTTTGTGTTCGATCCCGTAAAGAAAATACACGGTCCCACGTTTAAACATTTATCAAATAAGGCCGGCCAGTATTAACTCCCGAAAATCTAGCGACAATCCGAGTAGCGTAGATATGTTCCCGAGAGATTTATATTTCTACTTCTCGGTTTGTATATAAACGCCTAATAAATCGACATGATTTGCCGAAGTGAGGTTTTCCAATACGTAAATTTGGCGACATATGGTCGACTTTTCGCACGGTCCCACGTCTACGCATATTCAAGGTGGACAATGCTTTCCTTTTAGCAGCATTTAAAGGCCCAACGGCTTGCTTAAACCTGTTCCCGAACGCCTTGAAACATAGCAATTTCATGCCGCAGATTCGTCAAAATTTAGTCCACCAAGCGCTGGGAAATAGTCGCTAAACTAGCATAAAAAGGCAAAATTTGCTCGCCACTTCGCCTCTTGCTGCCATTTTACATTGCTGAGTTGTTTTGAGTTGTTACTAGGTTATCAGGGCCTATACCGCTGTATTATTTTTAAATTTGCTCGTATATTCATAAAAACAAGCGCGGCAAATTTAATATATAAGGTTTGTGTTGGCGAAGATTCGTTCTGAGATTTCAATAATAAAGGGGATTACTCATGGTGCCAGTATTAGTATTTACGTTTATTTTTGTTTGATTATAGCTATATATTTTTTTTTGCATAGGAGCGATTGCAGAATACCCGTCTACTTTTGAAGACCTCACTTGTTTAATATCATGATAAGATAATACGAAGTGAAAATGATTACGTAATAATTGTATACTCACGCTATTATAAAGCGTGGGTAAGCTATATTTTGCGTTATTGCGCTCGTGTTATGATAACAAGTGAAGTATTTAGAAGCGGGCAGGTAAATTCTATAATAACTCCCCTTATAGAATTGAACCGCCATTATGAATTTTGGAGATTTTGAGCCTACAGGTCAACCTGCTGGCTGACCTCGATTTCTGGCCATGACAACGGTGTACTGTAAGAGAAGAGCAGAGCAACGTAGTTCGTGCAGCTACAATATTTATTCCTAGGCCTTGCGTTATCAGGCAAGTCAAGAAACATAAAAAAATTGCTATACCTTCAGCTGACTTGGCCCTATGGATGAATATTAACTTTAATTTTCATTTTCATACGACATCCCCTTTACCAACTGTAGGAGCTATTGGGTCGGTAAACATTTAATATTTTGTTCAAGATTACTTACGCGATCCAAGTGGAACAGTTACTCCGTACAACAAAAAAAAATATTTTGAACGATCGAGGTTTATTACATCCCGTCCTTTACATGTCTTCTTCACATATCGGCATCGTACTTGTGAAGCTGATGTTGACAAGGTGTCGCCGAGCGCCAGAACTTTCCCAAACTATGTCGCTGTCTGGGGGAAATCCAGGGGCGGATCTAGGGGTCGTCAAGTCAGTCGCGCGACTGAAGTAAAAATTGCCTACTTAATTAAAAAAATTCGACTCCAGCTATCTATAGCGGCCAGTAGATCGAGTCATTAAAATTTTGAATCGTAGTCCAGTTATACGTTTCATGCTGCGGCAGAGTTTCGGCAAAGTAATGTTAGTCAGTCACGAACAGCGGTCTTACGCATGAATGTTGACGGATTCGGGGGTTGAATCCGACTATCTGATTGGCTGACGCGCTCATTTCCATGGTTACAGCCATTTGCGACGGATCTGTGGGGAGGCCTGACGGATTTGCAGATTCAGGGGCTCTGTATGAGTCTACCGATTGAACCATTTAAAAATATTCTGCACTGTCATTGGCTTATATTTTCGACGGATTCGCAGCGTGGGGTATTCGTCAACACGGCATTTGGTGTTTTATACCTCCTGAATGTTTACTATTTCGAACGTCTGGCATGTAAGAAATTTTACTATTATATTTTTACGAGCGATCTCTGCCAGCAATATCTGGAAACATTTTCGACAATATTCAGTTTGCGATTGCGGCAAACGATTTAGAATCTCTACAACGTTTGTATACGGAGCTTGAGAAGAATATCGATGCTTCACGGACAAATTCTGTTGACGAGCTACTGAACGGCAAAGTGAGCGCCATCAACAACACAAGCAGAAGCCTCGCTAAAAATTTTGGCGCAGAGAGCTACATTCCGAAGTATGTTCGAGATAAGAAAGACAAAGCTTGCACTGCAATAAGGTAGAGAAATTTATGGGTTTATAATGATGTATCTTTAGTTTATATTAATTAAACCGAATAACCAAAGCCGTCGGTGTTGTTAATGATTGTTTGACATATGATATTTTAATATTCGCTATGCTGTATTAGCATAATTCTCGCGTCAAGAAGCTAAAATATGTTTTATTCAATGTCCACATTGTAAGCATTTGTTGATTCTCGTGTTTATAGTGAAGTTTTATTTAAGATTTATTTATATTTATGCATCGATCACACAATATGTCGGCCTTATAGAATACTGTTTGCCCATAGCCTATCGACACGGCTTGTTAGACTCCTATGGTTAGACCGCATTGGTCTGGTGTAACATGATGATGTGAAATATTTAATAAGCTAGCTTGAAAAGTTCATTGACTGGTAGCCATTCTCATGTAACTAGTTTATTAATATTTGACATAACATCTTTATATCTTGTTAATGTAATAGTGTTTGACTTAGTTAATGAATATCTGGTTGTTTTTTTTTAATCTGAGGCTACTAGCAATTATTTGTATAGTTCTGCGTTTTTGGTAACAGAACAGTATATTTCCTTAATGCATTTGCTGCCATATGATTTTACACGTTTTACAATGATACACTTATAGGTATAGTATCAATATGATGACGATTGATTAATCCACAGGCAAACATGTTATTAAATTGCTACTGAGTTTTAATGTACTATATCATAGTAATATATCCATAAAATTTTGTATTGGAATAGGATCAATATATCTTTGTGCATTTGTAGTTTTTCTTACAATGGATAAGAATCAAATGTTCGTTTGAGTTTATCAATTTAAATTTAATCTAAATACTTTTTCACGCCCAGTCGAGACCACGCCCAGCGCTGACAACGCCCCGTCCGCCAAAAATTTTTGACTGAGGTATGAAAAATCCTAGATCCGCCCCTGGGGAAATCCACATACACTGTTCTTGGGTATCAATAATGTCAAAATACCCGGAACGTGCTAAGATTAACTCACATTCTGTAATTTTAGATTTTAACAAATCGTATTTCTTCAAATGTGCTGAAACATCATCACAACAATCTACAAGCATAACAGTTTCTGAACAACCACGAGAATTTCCACATGGGAAGTTAACTTTTTCAGCAAAAGAGCATGCATTTGCCTTCTCGCCTTCCATCATGACGCTATCGTAATATGTCATAACATGAAATCGACAAATGTCAACAAATTAATAGTATAGAGTTATGCAAGTTGAATATCAACTAAGTTGTTGACACCGCGTTTTAAACGCCGTAGCATGGACGCCATGGTACTGCTTTGCCAAACGTACGTATAACTTATGCTTTTTTTAGCTTTATTAACAATTTATAACTTTTATTACCACACAACATGTTTAGGTTTAAACACAATCACAGAGCATGTTAATAAAGCGCGACGTTTGAAATTACCTACGAATTAAATCCCTGCGCTGGGTCGCAGCCGGTTTGATTCAATTTTGCTTTTATAGAGACATGATAATTTTTTCTATTCACAAGAAAACTGTCGGCGTACCTTGTGCAAGAGCTTCTTAAGGACATTTTTACATTTCTTAAGGAGTTTTTGAAATAACACAACCAAACTGCTCTGATTTGAATGCATCTCATTATCGAAATATTCAACATAAATTGTAACATATTTTAAAGAAGAACATGTAGTGCAGCAAACTTTTATTTGTGAAACGAAAACTCCAGTCTTAGGTGCAGAGAATCATACCAAATACAAATCTTAGCTACGCTGCACTTTTGCACAATTTGGTATTACAGATCTGCTATAAATAACTTATGTTAGTTTGACGTTCTACTTCAGTTTTTCGAACAGAATGTTTTCATAGCTATAGTCGTATGTTTTACAAAATACGCCTATCCCGATCCAGTTAAAGAATCAAATATTCTCACGAGATCGAGTAATTTCTCGAAAAGATGCGATGAAGCGGAGGGCGACCAAATAGTTTTCCGTTAATTTTCTCTGAGTTTGCCGATCATTTCCGGTTCCGACATTATGATAAGTAAAGGATTAAAAATCTCCGGGACAACAGAGTGACCGAAAATTTTGAAACTGTATTTGATGTAAGTTATCAAAAAGCAAACAATAGTCCTGATTTAAACCATTCTGATTTTTTACTTCCTAGTCATCGGTCAGTTATTACAGAGACTGCCTCTTAATGCTTTTATTCGTGCAATAGTAAGAATATTTCTCCTGGTCCGGTATATATTTTTGGCCATGTCTATTATACAAATAATAAATGCTTATGAGTGCAGTGGAAAAATACTTTTATGATGTGAAAGATGAAATTTCCTTTCTACTTGGCGACTTCCGAGAGCCTTTTTGCAGCTAGATTGGATGTTTATTTAATTAAAGTCCCGGACAAATTATTAACTTCTTTCTTTGAACAACTATGATTATCCTATTATAGGAATTGAGTATATACCTAAATATGAATATCAACGTCCTTATTTTGGAAAGTGAGTATACAGTTTTAGAAGCTAAATAGGCCTACTTAATAATTATGTTTTTATTAACTGTTTAGAACCAGACATTTACTTCAATACTGGATTTTAAACCACCGAAATTTTATCAGCTTTCTTCCGATCAGCTTCATCGTTTTCGCCCTTCTTCACATAAACATAACTCGAAAGAAGAAAATGATTCATCGTCTTGGTCTTTGCATTGTCACTGGTACCAGAAGTCCCATCGCGCAGGAGGTGTGACAGTCTTGTTTTCTAATAACATAAATGTGTGTCACAATATCAACTCTACCTATATTGTTTTATCTAAAAATACGCATTTTTACATGTTAAATATTGAAAAGCCATGTACTTTTCAATACTTGGTATAATATATGGTATGTTTTCGTTTAGTTGTTTTTCCTCCGACCAAAAGAATAACATACTAAATATAGTATGTGACTGAAAAGCTGGAAGGCCTGTCAGGAATTGAGGCATTATTCCATGCAGCTGCATGGTAAATTTGAATCAATATCTTTACTAAGGCAGTTGACGTTGAGAAGTCCTATAAAATCCGACAAAAATACCGAAATGTCATTAAAAGAATGGACTATCATTTAAAATGAACGATAGACCAAAAGTTAACATTCAAATTTTATCGAAGAGCCTTTCACCATGTGAAATTGACACATAGGCAGAAAGTCCCTAAGATCATTTGATGGACAAAGCCACTTAATATGTTACTGCTATGAATATGGGGAATATTTAAAGAAGAAACGTGTTTTACGGTCTTTTTGGATTGAAAGTCACCTCCAAAGTTTTGTGTATGCTATCTTTTTCCGTTTTGTTCTCATTTTGTTCTGTCTTTCATGTCATAGCTTTTCAACCAAAAATTAAATGCATATACAATTACGTTCCTTAACAGGACAATACAACCTTAAAGAACAATAAGCGAAAGTGCGGTATAAACTGGAAAGGCTACGTGAACAATTACAATTTTTATTATTAGCATGACAAAATTACTGGATGCTGATTAGGTAAGAGGAGTACAATTATTACACTAATTATTTATCTTCTGTAATCAGTGGCAAATACTGCAATTTCATGCATCGGTTTACAGGAGTGCGATTTGGGCATTAATCGCACCTTTTCTGAGCTGTAATCGCACTCTTGTCTACAACCAATGACAATCAGTCTAGTATTTACAACTAGCCAATCAGCATTCAGGATACAAACTTTGAATTTTATTTTCTTTATTGCTGTAAAAAAATTCAAAATGGAGTAATTCATACATTTTGACCTTTTAATTTTTAAATAAGCCCTCTAAAACCGTCAAAATTGAGGTCGGAAAAAAAATGCCGACCTAAATCTGACTTAGCTCGGCATTTTTTAAAATCTGTTTCCATGTCTTGGAGCACTAGTAGCCTGCACTAGTAATCACGTGTTTACGAACCATTGAAAGTATAAATGTCACGAAGGCTTTTCTTTTAGAGTCTTACCTAAATTATATCATAATAACCGTTAATTCTTAAACCTTACACCAAAGTGTGTCGAATTCTATAATCGCTTTTTAACAGTTATAAGCACCAAAAAAGATTCTTACTTTGGCTGAATTAAGGTCGGCAAAACATTGCCGACCTGGGAGGTGGATAGGTCGGCATTTTAGTAGGTCGGAATTGCCGAATGCCGTTTTCGAGGGTTGTTAAATTATATATTTTCTGACGAAAATGACCTACCTGTTCTTCCAGCAGAAGACAACGAACTAAACACAACCAGGAGTTATATTTCAATCAAATTCATATGATTAACTTAACTAAAGAACTTCACTATTTTGAACACGTTATAAACATACAAACATGGCTTCCCAATTGTGTGTTGAATAATTCAAACAAATGTTGTCATGTGATTATACCGAAAATAATGCCCGGAAGTTAATAATATGTTAATTTGATTATATATGATAAATAATAATTCAAAATTGTACTATTTCACTAATGACAAAAATTTCCGTGACAAAAATTTTATAATTATATTGAATTTCAACAAATTGTATTTTTGTGCTTTTCGCTTTTAAACAGTTTGATTACAGAAGATACATAATTAATAAGTAATAGAACGAATTAAGTCGTACTATTAATTCAATAATCATACTCGTGATTAACAAATCAACCTCCCGCTACGCGGTCGGTTGATGTTGTAATCACTCGTATGATTATGGCATTAACAGCATTCCTATTCGTTCTATTACCATCATTAATTGCACTAGTGAGATTGACAATTTCCCAAAACAAACAAAATGGCGGAAAGGTAGTCGAACACAAATAAAATTGCCATAGAGGAACTTAAAGCTAAAAGAACTAAATAAAATAAAAACAAAAACACAAAATTGAGTTGAAAGTCTGGCAGGACGTGGCTTTGACGAGAGAACATGATGTTGTCATTGTGAATTATCCAATGTTGTGCTAATAATGAACAAGTATCATGAAATGTTGCTCGTACAATTAGGGATTAATAGTACTCGTTTGGAAAATTTGCCAAGTTTCGAGTAAACGTACAAAAGTTTGCCGTCTTGTTAAAAGTATAACAAAAATTAAAATTATCTTATGGTGTTGCCATGGCAACACTGACGTAAGGCGAGCCTGCGTTGATCCGTGTTGATCAGCTACTAATACTTCATGTTAAATCAATGTTTGGAAAATATGGGCGAGGGTTGGTGCATGCATGTATTTCTAGTTAATCCCTAATTGTACTCGCCATCGCACGATTACCTATACAATCAGGTCAATCATCTAGGTAAGAGTTTCATATTGATTTAAAGCCGTAGCAAAATATTCGTAAAGTAGTGATTCAAATTTAGATAATATAAAATGTTGTTGCTCAAAATCGTCCATGTTCTTGTCGATCTGTTGATGCAGGACCAATTATTTGTAACATTCTTGCTTTTTTTTAAATGGAATGAAATAATTTCGGGATTTCTCCTGGACCTTACTTTCAAGACATCACGCGGGCGAGTTTAAACAAGACCGTGTGAAACTTGCTAATTGGGCATTTTAGAGTCCCTCCACGTGTATGATACAATAGATTGATTGTTCTTGGCTTACTAAAAAATATTACGGAAAAGTGACAACTCTTTAAAAACTTACCATTCTTTCATTCAAGCGTTGTCTCTTATATTCATGGATGATTGGCAATATGAATTTACACTAGGTTACCCACAGGGCAGTAATGCTGCCTTTGACAGCAAAATACAAACTACAGGGTGTTGAACGAGTCCTTCAGAAACATCCTATTATTGTTTAGCCTGCATGGCAGGCGGTTCCAAAAATTGGGCAAGCCTGGGAAATACAGCCTGCCATGCAGGCTAATTATTGTTATCCTTGTTAACCCATTTATTGACAGTGGCTACCAGTGACAGAGTATTAAAAATTGTCTGGCGTTGGACAGGGTAAATACTAAAGTAGGGGTCATTACTGTGCTGATGAATTAACAAGAGCCATTGGCAGATAGGTTTGTTAACCCATTTACTGGCAGTGCCCTATACCACTGGCGACTAAAATCTTCTGGCGGTCGACAAGGGAAGGGCGCATTGCCAGCTAATGGGTTAAACCACCGTCGTTAAACATAAGATTTCATGATGCTCCAGGAAATGTAAACAAGCTATCAATGTGACATCCCAGTTTATATATTTATATACTCGGAATATTGATATCTCGGTACATACAAAATTATTTTAAAGTATAACAACCAGCGAAGACGTAAGGCACTAACTACCCTGCGCGGCTGCGCGCAGACTATATAACGACATATATATGTCATCCGTCCGGTCCGTCCGTCCGTCATTCATCCGTCCGTCCGTCCGTATCCGCATTTTATCCTAACCCATTCTTAAAACACAAAGTTTGCATTTAATTAAGGCAGTGCGGTTCGTCATGATCAATATTTTCAAAAGCGACCAATTAGACCAGGGGTTTAAAGGCAATGACAATGAATTGCAGGTGACATTTAACAATGCGTCTCACCACGGGGTCTCACTAATTAAAATTTGCGTGTTTAATAGTGTTTATAGCAAAAATATATACAAGACAATCTCACATGTGGAGGTTTTTCACTTATAGTACGTACTGCCTGTGATGCAGTACAAGTATAAATACAAATGACAAAGCATTTGTAAATCCTAAAACATAATTAAATCATACGTATTTCAGCCGCGTTTATACTGTTTGGCGCATTCGCTGCGTTATATTCATTTACATGTATATACACAGAAAAGCATGTCATTGTCCTTGCAGACCATAGGCAAAAAGCATTTGTCAACCATGCACATACCAAATTTAAGCAATCGTTAAATCATATACATGTCATGGAAATAATATGGAAGGAAAGCTAGCATCGCGTATAATATTAAAAGCACCGCATATAGTGCTCGAACCACTGCGTATAATTGCAAAAGCATCGCGTATATAAATGGTGAAAGCACCGCGTATAATATTGGAACCACCGCGTATAATGGAGAAAGCACCGTGTATAATGCCAAAAGCACCGCCGTATAATGCTAAAAGCACCCAACAAAATGCCGTTTGATCACTTTAAGCCAACTATGGCTTTCCATAAAAGAAGACCAAAGATGAAACATGATCACATTGCCTGTTTGCCTCATGCCTGACCGCGCTGCACCACGGTTAAAATTCACTGGTACCGTCATGCAATGCGCCAAATAGAAAATTTTGATTTCGACCCACAAAACAAAATTAGGATCTGCTGCCTTGCTCGCTCGCTTCAGGCTCGCTCGCTGCGGCAGCAATAACCAATAGCTGAAGTCAGCAATTTCATTTAAATTCGTTTGAGAATCATTTCGCCGTCGAAACCATACTATGGAGTGTTTGCATGGAAAAGCCACATCTTACAATTTATTGGAAGGAATATATGCGAATGCAGTCGCACATGAATGAAGTTCAAAGGCTTTGTTGGTTGTCAAGTCGGTCATCCTAGTCAAAGGCAACATGACTGCATCATGATGAACGAAAACGAGTGATGGCAAATGTATGGTTTACAAGCGATCGAACGAGTGAATGATAAGCGTATGGTTTCAACCGGAATGAATTCGCTGAGGCAACGAGGGTATATTCTTTATCACGCTTTTATTCCACTTTGACTGCTTTTTACTGTTCCCAATTAAACTGTACAACTCTGCTAAGACATTTTTTAAGTCTAAAGCTGTTGGCTTTGCACGAATATATAAGATAAGGTTGTCTCTCTTGGGACGAAATTTCATGGACGTCAATGGCTTGCCAATCTTTTTAAAGCTTGCTTGCCGCTGATGGTACAATCTTTACACTTCCGAGGCATAATGTCACATGACAAATATCAATTGATTTCCTAACATTAAATATCTGTGGCCCCAAAGGCCTATTTG